CTCCTTGCAGTCCAAAGGACTCTCAGGAGTCTTCTCCAACACCTTAACTCAAAGGCATCAATTCCTTGGCGCTCAGCCTTCTTTATGGTCCAACTCTCACGAAAAAGTAAAGATATTAAAGTGAATACATTTTAGATGTTAAGCCAATGTTAAGCATTAACTGTGGATATGTGTTGGAGAGAATAAAGAATCAAGTTGTAAGGTCTCTGGTGCGATTGCCTTAAACAGTATTGAAGAGTCATTCTCATAAAAGATTATTGTTGGTATCTCATACTCTGTTCAAATCTTGTGATACCTTTAGGGAGGAATGGAATTAGATGGTTACTACTCCAGGCACCTGCCCCATCGCTCAGTGGTTTGAGGAAGAACTGAGTGTGGTCAGAGGTCCATGGATCCTCTCTTCTAAACCACAGGGCATACAGCAGATATTCACAGCACTGCTCTCAGACATCAAAATATCTCACTATAAAAACTTTGCAGTCTAACTCTGCAATCTTACAGTCCAACTTAACTGAATGTCTCCCCTGACTGTGTGAAAGCAAACTCTGATGCGTGTTTCTTAAAAGAAAAGTCTCACCAAAATATCTGATTTCCTTTTAATTAAAAAATTGACATCCGGAAGGAAATTAATTGATGCCTGGCATGTACCATTTTTTCAATGTATGGATAGAACTATATAGACCATATGAGTGGATTCTGAGTTAACCCGTGGTCCTCAGGCACTGCTGCCCATCAGGTACTTGGGTCAATGTGCCTGGGCCTCCGTTGGAACCTGGGTTTGGGAGATGTGCACGCTGAGAAGACAGTGGGGTGAGGAAGGGTCCATTCACACAAAGAGAAGGGCAGAGACAGGCACCAAACCTCTCCCATGGGTTTACGGGAAATGGGAAGGGGAAGAGAGGGGACAAAAGAGAAAGAAACGTCAGAGACAACCAAAATGAAGGCATCTTTTGAAAGTCAATAAAAGCTGTTTGTAAAAGAAGAAAGACGCACCAGTAACAGCAGAAGTGGTGGAGGATGAGATGGATGAAAACGAGACAGTGACACTGAACGCCAGGATTGGGAGGCTTGGCGCCTCCTGGATGGAGTGAGTGCTGGGCACAGGGGCAGACGGCAGATGGAAGGGATGGTACTGTGGAGGAAGCAGACGCAGAGGTACAGGCTGGATTTTCCAGACGTCTGGTCTTGGTCATAAGCGGCCATGCAAAAGAGGAACAGCCACGTTTAGACAGGGGGCGTGTTTGTATTATCAACTTTGGGAAGATGAGGGCAGGGAGGAACCTCGGCCACCACTACCTACCCCCACCCTCCCAAAAAAAGGGGAAGAAAAGATTATGTAGGGGAAAAGTGTAAATGAGATTGCGAGTTATAAAGATAGGGAAGGGACAGAGCTTAGGTGGGACCCAAGAAGGGTCCTTTCACTCAGGAGATGAAAAGTAAAGAAAAGAATCACTGAGGGAGAGTAAATAGACAAGACTATTCTGCCATAAAACCCAACAGCCTACGGATCATCCCAGATAGAACTGAAGACACAAGTAAATTTCTGCTATAAAACAAGCCCAGAGAACTTGAAGTCAGGGCATAGGCCCAGCCTGCCTTAGAGGACCAGACAGCCTTCCAAATCTAACTGACTCAAGGATGACCAAGCAGGCAGAAGACAGGACCTTTCTTAACTTCCACTGCCATTAACGTGTGAGAACAATGACATTTATTACAATGGCACTAATAAATCAGTGTTGCATCCTACCTACCACCAATTAAAATTCCACCCATCAACAGAGAAATGGATAAAGAAGGTGTGGTACATATAGACAATGGAATACTACTCTGCCATAAAAAGGAACAAAATCATGCCTTTGCAGAGACATGGATGGACCTAGACACTATCATACAGAGTGAAGTAAGTCAGAAAGAGAAAAACAAGTATTGTGTAATATCACTTACATGTGGAATCTAGAAAAATGGTACAGATGAACTTATTTGCAAAGCAGAAATGAGACACAGATGTAAATAACAAACATAACGCTTCTAAGAAGGGAAGGGAGGTGGGATGAATTTGAGATTGGGATATAGACACTATATGAGATTGACATATATACACTACTATGTATAAAACTGATACCTAATGAGAACCTACTCTATAGCACAGGGAACTCTACTCAACGCTCCATGGCAACCTAAATGGGAAGGAAATCCAAAGAAAGAGAGGATAGAAGTATATGTATAACCGATATATTATACACACAAAACTCTGCTATACAACAGACACTAACACAACACGGTAAAGCAACTATACTCCAACGAAAATTAATTTTAAAAAATGCCTACAACAAACACCCAGACTAGGAAAAGTGGTAATAATCACTGTGTAAAGGAAGACAGTAAGATTCACATTCTTATGACTCTAAAGCCAAGAATTCAGAAGAAAGAAAAACAAAGAAGAGTTACTTTTCTTGGAAGAAATTAATCTTCTTTCATATCCCCCGAATACTGTAGATCTTGCGTAAGGTGATCTTTGACTGCAGATGGCCTTGGTCATGTCCAAACCCCTAGATTTCACTGCTTGAGACAATGTATTAAAGAAGAGAACACCTTTCTCTTGGTTATTTCCAAATGTATCAGTTTTCCTCTAAATGTAACATCTTCCCTCAATGTGAAAAAAACATGTTACACCATTTTGTTCCACCCTTTATTTTAGGCTTTACTAATACATTCCATAAAGCACAGCAGAAATTGAAGCCTTAAAATAAACATATGTATATATACATATGTTTATATATAAGGTGATGGCAAAATGCTTGGGACAATTGATAACATCTTAGGAAATTCGAGCCAAATATCAGTAACAATATGGGTTTAAAAAGAAATGATGTGAGTATATGCAGCAGAAAAATTCACAATGAATTATTAATACATCTACTTGGCTTATTTTTACTCTGTTATGTCACAATTTTGATGCAAATACAAAAAACAACCCAGTGAGGCATCTAATAACTTTCTCGGGTTTTTAATGTAATTCAGCAGTCTTAGGAACTAGAAATAGCATATCCATAAATAACTTCATGGCACTCAATTTATATAAAATTTTGTGTGAATCTGAAAAGAAAACAATACAAAGATGGATAGGCTATCCTCAATAAATATGGGATAATATAAAGTAATATTTAGTGCTGTTTAAAATGACTTTTCTTAAATATTCTGGGTTGGTAGAAATGTTACAGCCTCCCTACTATTAAAATAATTAAAAAGAGGTGACAGAAAAAAAGATGAAGGGTGGTTCTTTGTAACTGTTTCTACTTTAGGGAGAGAAGTCAGCAGACGAGATTCAGGAAAAGGGCAAGAGGTACAACTGAAGAGATGTCCATCATTTCTTTTCAACATCATCTTACTGCTACTGTCCAGAGCCTTACTTCCATCTTGGATTTCTATGGTAACTCGAAAAGTCAGATTCCCCAAATGCTTAGGAAAACCTGAGAGGGATGTACTTAAGAAGGCCAGTCTAATTTCATCTACAACTGAAGAACAAGGCAGAACAAGATGCCCAGACAGGAGTTCAAAGGAGTCAAGGACCCACAACAGAATCTGGGACTGAATGCACATTAGAATTCAACTCATTCAACTCTGATCTAACTTGTTCAAGGTTACACGGCCTCTTGGTGCAAGGACTCAACTAGAACCCAGGTATCCTGCCTTAGCACCAGGCTCAGTGCATCACTTCCCACTGCTCCTAACCCAAGAAGCAAATTAGGAGCTAAAGAGAATTCAATAAGCAAGCTATCATTATTGCCCCTAAGCCAAGTCTTTTTTCTTTGCCCGTCTTCCTATTACAGAAACTTTCCAATACCCACAAATAGAGATAGGAGAATAATAAACTCCATATATCCATCACCCAGCTTATACAATTACCAACTTATGGCTGATCGTTTTTCATCTATCCTCTCCTTCCCTCCAGGATTATTTTAAAACAAATCCCAGAAATAGAATCATTACTACCTTTTAAATATTAAATGCTCAAAGAAATGATATAGCTGTAGATGCAGCACACAAAATTTTCTTGAGGAAGCCCTGGTGTCTCTATCTTATATCCTTGTGCTATTGGTGGTATTTTCCATTTTATTTCACAGCTCTAGAACTAAAGGCCAGCTCTTACCTCAGCACAGACCGGTAAGACATGCTCTGTAATCCATGGACAATACTAGATTCTGGGGCAGTGAGGAATTTTTGATGAAGGGATTACTTTAGACAACAAACATGGAAAAAACTGAACTTGCACAAGAGATAAAATGTCTTTCTATCTTAAAAAATATCACTGATATTGGACACTTATTTAAATCAAGCTTAACTCTGGCCTGAGGTTTAAAGCCAACTTCATCCATGAGTTCATATGAAAGGTACTAAACAATGTAATTCTTACGGCTTAACAAATCCACAAAATAAAATAACGATAAAAAGTTTTCACACCAATAGCACTATGTGTCCTTCAGGACACATACCATTTATTTGTCCTAGGACATGAGAGAAATTTAAAATTAATAAATATAGCAACACTTCTCTTTCATACAGCCATTTAAATTTTGCCCACAGAACAAGTACGTTTGGAAGACATTTTAAAAATTCTTAATTAACAAATAGGATTATGCTATTGGAACTAAGCAGACAGAGAGATAATAGTGTGTATGTATGTAAATGGATACTTGCAGCTATAACACTGACAAATAACATTTCCACTTCTAATTTTCCACTTTGTCTTCCTCTCCCTACACATTAATTTTTATATGAATTTACAAGTACATATTTAAAAACAAGACTATGTTAAAAAGCCAAAGTGAACAGAAAAAGAAGGCAAATCAGAACCTTAAGTTCTATCACTCTTAAATGAAATAATTTTATTTTAAATATAGATTAATTTTTTCCCAGGGGAAAAAAATCTGCAGAATACAATCTTTTACCTTTTGGAAAATTTAACAATTTATCTTCTAACAAAGTTATGATATTCATACCTGCTGATGTTTCTCTGAATTTGTCACTCGTCTTCTTTTTCCTCCATTTCCAAGGTTTAAAAATTTTACCAATGGTGGAGAGTTTCCCCTTTCTCTTGAAGGGAGGTGTTTGGGAGCCTGCTGTTGGGCCATCTGAGTTTGCTATAGAAGCTTTGTCCAGTCCATCAACTGTAGAAAGAAAAGTCAAGTCAGAGAAAAGCTGTAATAAAAGTTTGAAACAACATCATCTATTTCTTCCTGCACTGTTCAAAGTAAGCACACCCACTTTAACTGGAATTTCACATAAAGTTTATTTTGCCCCATTTCCCTGCTGGTAGAGCTCTCTTCTAATATCAATCAATAAATCAATCACTCAGAAATTATAGTCCCTTAGATACTGATTTTGAGGAAACAGAAAAGAAGCAAAAGAAGCATAAAAGCTAAGGCCAGATAAATAAGGGTCTGCGAAACACAGCTAAATCCATCTGTAACAACTACGTCTATATTTTTGTGCAGAAGTAGAGTATTGTTAAGTGAAAGAGGATGTTCCTCCAGAGACTAATTTGGCATTCTCTGTAATGAATATGACAGTCACGGTGTAGTCAAACCAGGCTTTTTTCTTCACAAAATAAAATTTAATGCCGAGAAACTAAATTTTAAATTTTACACACTAAAACTCTTTTGCTTCTATTACAAAAAAAATTTTTAGCTTCAAATAAATTGATAGCTATCACGAATGACAAGAAATGTGGAAATGGTGGATGTTCTAGGTAACAGAACATGTTTTTATGTGCCTCAATCTTTTTGTCAACCAGAAGAAAGGCCCTCAACTTTATGTTGCCTTGTACTATGTTCATAACTGAAGGAAGATGGTGGTAACTTATATTATCCCAACAATCAAATTTTAGTGACAAAAAACTGGAAGCAACTCAGAATGAATAAATGATGGTATTTTTCATGCAATGAGATAGCACTCAGCAACTTTTTTAAAAGGAGCTATTGGTACCTACAACATGAATGCATCTCAGAAACACTGTGCTGAAAAAAACAAAAAAAGCGACACACACAGAGTATGTGCTGTGTGGTTTTATTTAAGTGAAGTTTTTTAAAAAGGCAAAATGAATTTTGGAGAAAAGAAAGAAGAAAACAATCAGAACAGGTGGTGTTTCCTGGAGTGAGATGGAGGTAGGAATTAACTGAGAAGAGATCTGAGGGATCTTCCTGGAGTCCTAGAAATTATCTCAATGAAGGATGGACTATACAAAACACGTGCTTCCCAGGTGGCATGAGTGGTCAGGAACCCACCTGCCAATGCAGGAGATGTGGGTTTGATCTCTGGGTTGGGAAAATCCCCTGGAGGAGGGCATGGCAACCCACTCCAGGGTTCTTGCCTGGAGAATCCCATGGACAAAGGAGTCTTGAGGGCTACAGTCCATGGGGTTGCAAACAGTCAGGCACAACTGAAGCGACTTAGCGTGCACGCATACAAAACACATCAAACGGTATTTATGATATTGTGTATTTCACTTTGTGTAAAATCTACCTTTAAAAAACCATAAATAGTAAAGTCCAATTAATGGCATGCATGATGATAGTGATGAGGTGTTCTGATGTTCATCAAAAATAATAAATTGATGGAGAGAATGGAGATGGATAAATTTATAATATAGTAAAATGTAGCTAAGTGTTGAATCTAGGTGGTGGATGTGTGGTGATTAGTTGTATAATTCTCCCATTTTCAAAACTTTTAAAATAAAATATTAGGAAATACTAGGATAAATAAAACAAATATTGAATGGCAAGAACCTCTGCTTCTAGGAAAATGGAATAGACTTACTTTTTCCTATTTCTCCTGCTAAATACAAATAAAAAATACCCTGAATGTTGTATATAAAACAAACATGAGGGACTTTCCCTGGCAGTCTGGTGGTTAAGACTCCATGCTTCCACTGCAGGGGGTTCGATTCCTGGTCAGGAAACTAATATCCTACATGCCGTGTGGGGTGGCAAAAAAAAAAAAAACATGGATAGACTAACAAGCTGAAAAGAAAGTAGACCAGTGTGGGCCCTCAAGACCTAAGAAACACATGGAGGTAGGATCCCTGAGTTTTCTTTTAGTCTCATGTATTCTTGACTTGCAGCTGAAGTGGTCACCAACCCAAAAACATCAAGCACAGACCAATAAAGCCTCAACAAATAGCCTGCTCCCTCTGGTCAAATGAGCAAAAACGGACAGGCTAGCAAAACAGAGGACTTTTAGACGATAACTGCTCCACTCCAGACAAACACCGCAGAAGAAACTATGACCACCCAAGCCGACAAAGGCTGAGTGGGGAGATCAGATGTCTACCCTCACAAAGCTCTAATGAGGAGCCCCAACATCCCTAGGAGAGTGGTGTCAGAGAGGACCAAGTAGAGAGCCGGAACCTTCCTGCGTGCCACCTGTAACAAACCATCGTCTACAGTGTCAGCGGAGACCACACGGGAGCCTGGACTTCCACCCGTACCCAGGAACGAGGCATCTCTTCTTCTCCCTCCCTCCCCAAAGTGGGATCACACCAAACCACTGCCCAGAGGAACAAGACAACCTCCATCCGATATGGTGTCAGTAGAGACCATGTGGGGGTCTGGAGATCGAACTACGCCCAGAGTAACGAAGACCCCTCTCTCTGTTTCTGCCACGAGATACCAACAGAGGATGAAGGGCTGAACCTGGGTTTTTAACCTCCTGGCACTAGTGAGGCAGCACCCTTTGCCTCCTTGCCTGGAGAACTATCAAACAAAGCCAGTTAAAATAAAGGGTTTCAATAAAGATTTATAGTCTAATATAATACAAGAGTGTTGAAGCTTCAGTCAAAAATCACCTGACATACCACAAACCAGGAAAATCTTAATCTAAGTGAGAAAATAATCAGTACACACCACCACCTAAATCCTTACGAGTTCTCCTTCCAAACAAGCATGATAAATCCCATTCTTCCCACTCAGAACGCTGACTCTAATCTCAGGCAGAAATGCAAGAACTGCAGTAACTGAGTATTTTGTAAATGGTCCCACGCTGGCTACAATACAGCAGGCAGAGAGAGAGACGGGTCAGGCTAATTGTAAAGCAAAGTCAGAGTTAAAAAGTAAAATCCTTATTTGCTTCTCTTCCCTGGTGGCTCAGAGGGTAAAGCGTCAGCCTGCAATGCGGGAGACCTGGGTTCGATCCCTGGGTCAGGAAGACCCCCTGGAGAAGGAAATGGCAAACCACTCCAGTACTCTTGCCTGGAAAATCCCATGGACAGGGTAGCCTGGTGGGCTACAGTCCATGGGATCGCAAAGAGTCGGACACGACCGAGCGACTTCACTTCACTTCCACTCCTGTCCAACTGTTTTCCTTAAACTAGGAGCAAAACCAGGGAAAAACTGAGTGTATGATATTTCTTCTTCATGGAGACTTTATGCTGAAGATTCAATTTTGAAACAATTTACATGTTGTGAAATATAAAAGGACTATTACAAACATGGGAACTAAAGCTACCATCTCCAATTCACCTCTGTGGCTATAGACACAACAGACACACATTAAGTTCTCATTTCCTCTAAACCTACAACCCTGGCACTCCATTAAAATTCTGCTTTTGATCTGAACCACTAAGGAATAATCTATTTTCTTTTCTTCTGAAAAGAAAAGCAAATGAAAACAAAAATTAAATAATTCCTTAAGTGACAGAATGTGACAGATAGGGAGATTGAATGAGGTAGTTGAAAAATGAAAAATGAAGTTCTTAACGTTAAAGTCATAGATACATGAGACATTAATTGTCATACCTTTTTTCATTTTGCATTTGCAGTTTTAGTCTTTATTTATGCCCCAGAAAGGTCCTGGGCCAATGCCAATGACTACAGCACAGTTCACACACACATACCTTTTTCCTGATTGAATGAATCCACCCATAATTTTGTAATTATTGGGCGATTACAGTAAACCACACTTACAATTAGGAACCATCGGTTGGCATAGTTGGCCACGCTGCCATGGGATTTCTCTTCAATCATGAACATGAAGGGGACTGTCACCTGCTTTGGAGTCATAGGAACAGAAATTTTATTCCCTTCTTTTCACCAAACACCTACGATACTGCCAGGACCACATATCATTCTATTATTTTTCTTTTGGGCCAGTGTACCATTAAAGTTGACTTGAAATTTTCTAAAATTGTTTTCACAACAAGTCTAGTAACTTTGGCATTTACACACAGATAAAAACAAATTGCCAGGTAAATCCCAGATGAAAGTCTGAATTTCCTGTTTTAATATTAATTTTGACTGACTTACATGTTATGAAGAGTGACCTAACATTCATTAGGTTTTCCTTTTTCACAATGAAACTCTACATTATAAAATAATTTAAATATTTTGAAAACCAGTCATTGGCTCTTTGAATGTAGACAATTTAAAAGACACAGCTCAGTCTATCTTCCCAACAAAGTAAGTCCATTCCTAACAGAACTTCCCCACACCAACCAGTAAGATCCAGAAAATACATGAAGGTTTTCTCTTTCATTTAAACAGAAATTTATCAATTAGGCAATCCCAGTGCTAATGTGATCACAGAAGCAAAAAATAAATGAAGCTAGATAATTATCATATAAATTAAATTCTAGATTTGGGAGAATCTTTTCTTAGATACTTGAGAACTGAATGACAAGGATTCTTAGAAAAATGAAACTATTTAATATGAGAGTGTGTTGTATTTTTATAATATTTGATAGCTCTCTGATAGTCCAGATACTCATTTCTGATTTTTCTCCACACAATTATTTCAGTTATTGAGAAAGTGAGACAAATGTGAGAGAGCATTCCACCTCACAAATTTCATAGGTCAAAGAACATTTAGAAAAGAACCTCAATAAAAGAATTCCTGGGGACCGAGTCTAAAGAAAGTGATAGCCACTCTATGAGAAAACAAGTGGTGAAGATGGCCTCAACTGTCCTCTGAAATCCTTACATAACTGAAAGTTAATGAGAATACATTTTGGAAGCCCAATAATAACAAAAACAAAGAGAAATCATATGTGATTTTAAGAAAAATGCTGATTCTCTGTTGTACTAAGTATACGCTTACAATACTACTCATAGTGATTTGACTGTATCAAAGAATATACCTATTAAAAGGGCACTGTACAAAGATATTTGACATTTAA